CTGCTCTCTTTGATGTTATTTTAGCCTTCCTACAAGCATGCCTGGTGTGGTACCCACTGAATGTGAACATAATATTCCAGATGTGATCGGGCCAGAGCAGAGCAAAGAGAGACTCCTCCCTCCTTACTCCTGGATACAAGGCTTCTCTGAAAGTAACCCAAGATCCCACCAATTCTTCTTGGCTGCCTGATCACATTGCTGACTCTCACTGAGCTTGCAGTCCACTCAAATGCCTAGATCTTTTCAGAAAAACCACTGCCTAGCCATTCCTGCAGAACCATAACCAGGCAAGTCACGTTTTGCCCAATGGGTGTGTTGAATGTAAAGAAAGTCAGACTACGGCCTCTCTAGTCCACGCAGAATATTTGGACTGCCAACACTAGGCTCTGTCATCTGCCAGCAACTGAGGAATTCAGAATCAGGCAACTCTTCTTCATCTGCCCACAGTAGCTATAATTGCTAACATGTATAGAACATTTACCATGTGCCAGGCACTGTGCTCAGCACTTCACAATTACTGTCTCATGTCATCCTCATAACAACCCTAGGAGGTAGGTCCCCATTTTACAGATGAGGAAACTAAGGCAAACAGAAGTGAAGTGACTTGTTTAGGGTCACACAGCTAATAAGCCCCTAGGGCCAGATTTGAACTCAGTCTTTCTAAGTAGAGGCCCAGCACTCTCTCCACTTTCCTGCCTCACTATCTACAACACTCTGGCTATCTGCATCCCATTCTAAAGAGAAAGCATGGGAATGAGATTATACTCAAGTCTATAAACCTCCCTGGTGAGAACAGTTTGGGTACCTGAGATGGAAGAGGCCAGGGTTGCCCCTCAGAATTTTACCTGGCCTTGAATCACTTTGCTTTTCAAGGTCCCTTTCCCAGCTAGGATCTCCAAATCCAGAGGTTGGAATGAGGTAGGGCAGGGAACTGGGAATGGAAGAGCCAAGGATCAAGGGCTTCCTTTTCTTGCTTTTAACTAACCATCCTGTTAACAATCCATTCTAGGATTTTGTGAAGAATCCAAGACCAGTTCATTGGTTTAGAGTCTGAAGATTCCATGCTTTTTTCCCTCCCTCTTTTTTTAAACAATGGGAACATTTGTCCTTCTCTATGGTGTTCCTTTCTTTCTCCACAAGCTTTCAGAGATCACTGACTGTGACTCAACCATAACAACCATCAGTTATTTTAGTGCCTGAAAATGTAATTCAGCTGGCACAGGTAACTTGAACTTTTCAAGGGCAGGTAGATGCTCACTTATTCCTTACTTATTTATCTAGAGAATCAACAACCTGTGAGTAATTTTTTTATCTCTCTTGTCCAGTTCAGAAATCATCCTCCTTGGCAGAGAAAACAGAATAATTGAGTAGCTTGGTTTTCTCTGTCATCAGTGTTTCATCTTCCCCAAACAGGAGTTCTTTCACTTCTTTAATCTTTCTCCCTTTGCCAATATAGCTTTAAAAAAGACACCTCTTTTATTGTCCTTACTTCCCCTTCAATAGCCTCAGCTCATCTGACCTTTAACAATTCTGAAACTATACTGTATATTTGTATTAATCCCCACCTTCTATGCCACTTTACAGGAATAGGGACAGGGACTGGACCTTTGATTTCACTTAAACAGGGAAATTCCATTTGAGGAAACTTCCTCTACCATGAAGGTCTTGGCTTCAAGGCCACTACACCAAGCATCCTTTCAATCTTTTTCATGTGTTTTTAAAAATCTAAGTTGTTGATGAATTCCCTTTGTATCCAAATCAGTCTCTTTACTCCTCATAATTGTTTCTTATCGTGTCCTCAGAATTTTATTCTTGAAAACTTCCCATTCCTCCTGGGTTGACTTTTCCCATAGAATTTCCATCCATGGCATTCTGCCTATCCTTCCTCTGAATTCTTTGAAATCTGCTCTTCTAGGATGCATGTCATACTACATGTGGTGAGACAAATGAGAAGCCCAAGAGACAGAGTTTCTGGGTAATTAATAATCAATTTATTAATTATGCTAGCAAATAATTAATAAATTTGAGGTCAGTGGTTTCTCCCATAACCAAAGACCCCACATGGAGGTCACTGAATGTTTAAATGCCTTTGGAAAATTGGGTGTCCCAGAGGGTGAAAATCAACTCTGATTGGTTAACAATTAATGACAGAATGAATATCATAATGAGAGGTGGGATTTTTCTAATGAGGGGCTGGGAGATGTGACTTTGATCATGTCAGCACTCTCCCAGATCATTCCCCCTCTAGCAATCTATACAAAAGAATCTATTCTCCACCCAGTCCTACCAGAGTTGAACAATGGTGGAGTCATAGTAAGAATTCCACCTACATAGGATGGTCTGGGTAGGATGAATTTTGGGGCAAGGGCAGAAATATCCTGAGAGACTGGGCTTTGAATGAGCAAGAGGAAAAGAAGATCTTTGGGTCCCATATATTAAATTGATTGTTAATGTAATAAGAAAATAATCATTTTTCTCAGTGGTATTCCTCTTTTCTATCACAAATTTAGAGATGGTCACTTTACTCCAAGGTTCTGATCATTTCCACCCCACCTTCTTGTGAATAAGAGTGATGCTGAGAACAGCATCTGCCCTCTTGTAAATTTCTCAGCATTTTGATGGATGAAATGATCATTGAGGCAAGTCGGGAAGTTATTAATTAGTCTGCTTTTGGCAGAGAGATCACTAAAAAGTGTCCAGATAATTCAGGTCTCCTGGTCTTGTGATCTGTTCCCCTAATTCCTCATTTATTTCCATCCAGGTGGTCTATACTATGCTCTGATGACAATATTACTGTCAAGATTGATCTTCACTCCATTTCTCTCCATCAGACTTCCTCTTCCTTGTTCCTGGATTTCCTCATGAGTGTATCTTTTTATACAGACTGTCTCCAAAGTTTTCACATAGTTTTAAGACTTAAAAGCTTAAAGATGCTACATCCTATAGTGTAGGATGAGCACACACACACACACATACACACACACACAGACACACACACACAGACACACACACACATACACGGCACAAAGCATGGTTGTACCAGGATCAAGGTGCCTTCTGAGGTTCACCCACCTAAAATCATAGTTCAAGAGTCCCCACAAATGAGTTTCCTTTTTTTTCTCTCGTCAGCCACAGGATACAATCAGTTCAAAGCAAAGTCACTTAATGAGATGGTGCAGTAAAAAGCACTGCAGTAGGACATTATTCCCACAAACTTGGGGCATACTATCAGTGGAGAGAGTGAGTATTCGTAGGCATCATACATGAGGAATACACGCCTGTATGGAACACACGTGGCTGAAACACACAACTCAGAGGGGCAGCATACACAACAAAATACAAGCTAAAAAAGCTAACTCCATTCACCTAGTTCACATTCCTGCCATTAATATGTATATCTAACACAGCAAACTTCAGTGCTATATAAATAAACCTCCCTGTCTTCCAACAGTAAACTGATAATATGCTCCAACTCTCTTTTTTTAACCTATTCCATTTGTTTCAAATTAATATACCCTTGCATAACTACATTGTAGTCAGGAGTCTCATTTCATCAAATTTCAATGATACTTGTGTGGTCAAATTAGACTCCTTACCTTGGGTTTGCTAGTTCATGTTGCTTGTCATGAATACTTTGTTTATCCAAATAAATGAATATCACTTCTTCTGATAGCTAAGAATTGGAAATAAAGTAGGTCCCCATCAATCAGGGAATGGCTAAACAAAGTGCAGTACATGAATGCAATGGAATATACTGTGCTGTAAGAAATGATGTGTGATGAATACAGAGAAGCATGGAAAGATCTATATGGACTGTTGCAGAGTGAACTAACAGAGACAAGAAAACAACACACAGCACACAGATAATATACACATAATATACTATACACAACAATATAAATGAAAAGAATGACACTCTCCAAAAAACTAAATATAACAAAATTATAAAGATCAAAAAGGACTCAAATGAAGAGATATGAGAAGATACCCCCAATTTAGCCTTCATGGAGGTAGGAGGTCCATGGGTATTATACATGTCACATGTTTCTGGACTTTTTCAATTTATCTCAGTTGAGCTGACTTTTTTTTTCTTTTCCTCTATATTTATTGTATGGGAAGGCTCTCTGGGAGGCAGAGGAGGGATACATGGGATATTATGGTGATGTAAGAAACAGAAAACATCAATAAAAAAATTTTTAAATAAATATACACAGAAATATGCAAATATAGACATCTGAGGCCACAGGGGAGTAGGATCTAAAGAAGAAAAAACCTGCCTTTCATTACCCCTACCTTCATTCAAACCTGAGGATGGTTTCTCTTTCTTAGCCTACAACAGCACATGCTTTGAGCTGTAATCCAGAGCGGTAGCCAGGAAACGTAACAAGAAGTGTTTTTCGATGTGACAAAATGTCTATAACAGAAACCATATGAATTAGGTCTATTTTAGCCATGTCTGGGGAGAGAGCTTAGAGTAGTGTTGTTTGCAAAAATTGAAAAGGTTCTGCTGGGCTGCTTCAGGAAAGGAAGGATTAGGATTTTTCCTCCCTATCCTACCTAGAAGAGTCTTCCATTCCTCCTCAAGCAGCTCCAAATTGAACAATGGGAAGGTTAAGTGGCCCTCTAAAGCAGCTGGTCCCAACCCAACCCCAACCCACCCCCCACCACATATAAACTACTGCTGCTGAGTTTGCCCTCTGCCCTGGGGGAACACTGGATCCATGATTTTACCCTGTTTTGAAAAGTTATAAAGTATAAATCAATATGGTTCTCTTTCATTTGGCTCCAAAGCCCCTAGCCAGGAAGATTATAGCAAATTTCTGAGAGTGAGTTTGTTATCTCTCTCTCTCTCTCTCTCTCTCTCTCTCTCTCTCTCTCTCTCTCTCTCTCTCTCTCTCTCTCTCTCTCTCTCTCTCTCTCTCTCTCTCTCTCCTTTAACATACCCATCACTGTCTCTCACATTCCATTCCCACAGTTAAAACACACATAAAAATCATAAATTGCCACAATCAAATATATTTTTATTTAATGCTAGTTTGAACAGAAATGTAAACAAACTTCAAAGAACAAGTAAGTTTTGAATTTAGTGTGTGCTCTTCCAAGTAGAAAGTGGGGAGGGGGAAGGGACAGGAAAAATCTTCAACAATTGGCTTGCCCTGAGAAAATTCTAGTCTTCGTCTTGGTATGCTCTCTCAACCATGGTAGGCTAAGGACATATAGCAGCCACAATCCAGTGGCAACTCACACTCCAGCTGCCCCAACTGTCTCTAATTCTGATCACTCTCAGTAATTTCTGCACAGGGCATCCGAGCTAATTCGTGCACATTTGGCTTCACGTGAGACTTCTCCAGTGTAAGGGGAATGGACTCTCTTTAAGGCATAACTTCTTTTAGTCCCTGGATCAAAAACAAAAACAAAAACAAAATTGAAGATTTCCATCCTATCCCACAGGCTTCATCCAAGGGGCTGCAAATACTTTGGCAGAAAGGGAGCTACACTACCAGAATGGAGCAGCTAGGTGGCACAGTGGATAGAGTGCGAGGTCTGGAGTCGGGAAGACTCATTTTTGTGTCTGGCCTCAGATACTTACTAGCTGTGTGGCCTTGGGCAAGTCACTTAACCCTGTTTGCCTCAGTTCTTCATCTGTAAAATGAGCTGGAAAAAAAGAAATGACAAACCACTCCAGTATCTTTGCCAAGAGAACTCCAAATGGGGTCAGGATGAGTCAGACATGACTGAAACAACTGAACAAGGAGACCAGGATAAAAACTTGGGTTTGCTGTAATTTGGGGGACCATTTGGGCCTGGACTCAAGGGTTGAACCCACCAGAAAGAACATCTCTTTTCTCAAAGACTGTAGACTAAAAGAAAGAACCTAGCTGTACTGGGCATAAAAAAGAGAAAAGTTAGGTTTGTGTATTAAGCAGGACCTAGCCAGCCTCTGTAACTACAGTACCTGTACCTTGCCTACTGGCATATGATTTGTACCCTGAGATTCCTCCCATGGTATAAAACACAACCCTGATTTCAGAGATTCATTTACATATACATTGGGGAGATTTCTCTCAATGTTAGCTCATAGCCTCCACCTTCCTGCTGTTGTTCTGTCCGGTCCAACTCTAAGTGGCCCCATGGACAGTTTTGTTGGTAAACATACTGGAGTAGTTTACCATTTCCTTCTTCAGCTCATTTTATAAATAAGTAACTGAAGCAAACAGAGTTAAGTGACTTCCCCAGGGTCACACAGCTAGTAACTGTCTGGGGCCACCTTTGAACTCAAGTCTTCCTGGCCTGGTGCTCTATCTACTATGCCACATGGCTGCTCTAGCCTCCACCTAGGATACCCCACCCCCCAAAAAAACGAATGCACGGTATCCCGACATTATACTTACACCATTTCCCCATTTGCGAGCACACAGGTCACAACCTGGATACTTAGTTAGACCTATGATTTCATTGATGTGTAGGTATTACTTCCAATTGCAACCTGCTCATGCCTGCCTAACTCTTATCCATGTATTCCCATAAATCCTTCATAGGACATATAACCAATATACTGGGGGCCTTCTAATCTAATCCAGCCATTCCAAGTTAGAACATTTTTACCCATACCATACATACCTCGGGGTAGAAATACTTATTTTCTTCAGTCATTTAGTAAGGAGAGGGAAGGTGAAAGGGAAAAATATTCATTCCAGCATGTGCTGTTTAACACAGTTCCCTCTGCACATAAGAAAGGAAGTGAATGATCTGTGCCTATACACCGTCCTCAAGGTCAGTGGGTCAGCTGGTTTTGCTTAACTGTTTTTGTTTGTTACAAAAGAGTATATAACAAAGAAAAAATGTAAATGTGAAAAAAGAACATAACTCCAGCATTCTGAACAGCAAAATGAGTACACAGTGCTTTGGATGACTCACTATGCAGGAGGATTGATTGAACACAGAGGCTAGACTGATCTCAAGGTCTCATTCTGAAAAAGACAACCTTTTGTCCCTTTAATGCTGGCTGTCAGCTCTATGGGAACAAGGATTCTGTCTTAGTTATTCATTGTTTCTCCCTCTTGCATCTAGCCCAGTATTCTGTACCTTATAGGCATCTGATCTTTCTTCTTTCTTCTTTCTTTCTTTCTTTCTTTCTTTCTTTCTTTCTTTCTTTCTTTCTTTCTTTCTTTCTTTCTTTCTTTCTTTCTTTCTTTTTTCTTTCTTCCTTTCTTGAATTGAAATGAAATAAAAGCAGCAAGGCTTCTGTTTGAGGTAGCTCCAAGTCTTCTCATCTGGGAACTATTCTGCCACCATGTTTTGGGGACCACGGCCTTCTGATAGTTAGGAGTTTAGGACTATTCAGAATAACAATGCCCACACATGTGGCCCCAGGGACTGGTCTGAAGATTACAGTCTACCTCACTACTTCTTCAGCCCCTAAGTCCTGTTACATGATGCAGAAACCCTGCTAAGCCAATGCCATGTGGCATCAGGTACAGATGAAATGCAGAAGAGCAAAAAAAAAAAATGCAGAAGAGCACAGGTTCCAGAGAGATCACTATAGCTGGGAATAGAGGGTAGGGAACAGACCTAGATCATCTCTAGTTCGGAGAGCCCAAGGGATACTGAATCCATGCTAGCCACTGAAGCAAGACTGGGCCAAGATTTTTCAAACCAAACCAGACGCCAATTTTAATGGTGAAATAAGAGCACAAAACCCTCCCTTCCCCAGACAGTTGACAGACTATTTCCCAGGCCTGCCTTCTTTAACATGACCCTAAAACGTTCCAATCTTTATACTACACCCACAAAATTCTGCTAAGTGTTTTAACAATGAGGTCAGTGGGACATTGAAGACAGAATTGTCATCCCACTGAGAGCTAAAGGATAGGGTAATGGTCAAAGCTTTTGCTGCTGTGGGAACTTCATGAAATAACAGCCTGGGTTGCTGGGGCAGCCAGTCACTCAGCAGAACAAACTCACAGCACAGAGGCTAGAACCCAGCTCTGCTTCCTGGAAAATTAAATTCTGTCTTTACCCTCTTAGTCACTGGATCATAATAACTCAGAGTGAGAAGAGACTTCAGAGGTCATCTTGATCAACATCCCCTACATGTGGCAATTTGGATTTACAGATGGGAAGAGAGTGGCCCAAATGCCCATACCCTTTGACCTAGTGTCCTTCCTAGGCAAATACGCCAAGGAGGTCAATGAGGAAACGCAAGGAAATGTAAGTACCAAAATACTAAAAACAGGTGTTCTTCACCTTTTCTGTGTCATGGCTGTCTTTGGAAGTCTGGTGAAGCCTGTGGACTTCTTCTCAGAACACGCTTTAAAAATAAAATGTGGAAGATTGCAAAGGAAAACAATCATATTGAATATAGTCATATATACACATACACACATATGTATATGTGTGTGTATAAACAAGTTCATGGACTCCAGGTTAAGAACCCCTGATTTAATGCAACAGTTTTTGTAGTAGCAAAGAACTTGGAAACGAAGCAAATACACATTGTTATAGAAATGGCTAAACAAATTGTGATACATGAATGTAATGAAATATTACTGTGCTATAAGAAATGATGAATATAGTGATTTCAGAAAGGCATGGGAAGATTCCTGTGAACTGCTGCAGAGTGAATCAAACAGAACCAGGAAAACAAACAATGACTACTGCAATGTAAACTGGGGGGAGAACAGCAAAAAATAATTCAAACTGAATGCTTTGAAATTGCAAGGAACAAGCTTGGCCCCAACGAAAAGATACAAAGAGTCAATTCCATGCACTTCTCAAGAGGACAATATCTGTGGAACATGACATATTACATCAAATTTTTTCCATATGTTGGTTAGTTTTGATGAACTTTTTCCCCCCTTTTTTCATTGGTATAAGGGATGACCCTCCAGGAGTGGAGTGGAGGAAAAGGTTCCATTAACATAAGCAATGTAAAAGCAAAAAGAATGCCAAACTCTACCAATATTTGGAAGATAGTGGGGAAAAAATAGAAGGCCATAAAGTGGATGGTCAGTTGTGTAGCTGAGGAGAAACTGGCCCAGGAGTCAGTGTACTCAAGTTCTAGTTCCAACTCCATTACTAATTAGGTATGTCTCATCCAAATGATAACCTCTCTGGGCCTCACTTTCACATTTAAAAAATGACAAAGAGTGTAGCCGGGTGGGAAATGATGCTCAAGACACTGTGTTTGGCATAGAGGTAGGGACAGCAAAAGGGATAGGGACTCTGTATACAATTTCATTGGATTCTGTAACCCCAAATGGGAAACTTTCTCTACCAATGCAGGTGCTGGGGATACAAAGAAAAATAATCCCTGCCTTCAAGGAGCTTACATTCTACTGTTTGATGCAACATAACATAAATCCTTTTGGGTACGATGCAAAATATAGCTAAGAAAAGGGTCCTCCTGAAATTGACAGTTAAGTAAACTCTTAATCTTTGCAAAGAAGGGAAAAAAGAGGCAGATTTTTAGGGGCTATCTTTGCCTTGATGCTAGTTTGCTGGAAGACTTGATCTTTCCTGGACAGAATAGTGAAGACAAAGGGGAGGGTCAGTGTGGCTTAGTGGAAGGAGTACTGCACTAAGTAACAGGGTTTGAATCCTGACCCCAATACTCAATAGTTAGAGTGACTTTGGTCAAGTTCTCTTACCTTTGTGAGATCCTCACCTACAATATGAGAATATTATTTATACTACCTTTTCCTAGGTCATTACAAGTGTTTTCTCTCTCTCTCTCTCTCTCTCTCTCTCTCTCTCTCTCTCTCTCTCTCTCTCTCTCTGCATACATATACATACATACAAATATTGTGAACTATTGGATACAACTGAATGACTCAACAACAATAATCATTTCTCCCTCTCTGGAGCAGTTCTTGAGGAGCTACAAAGTGAGAATTACATTGTTCCACTAATCCAGCTTCATCCCTCAGGTTGGAGGAAGGTAACTTCAAAGTAGCCTTACTTATATGACCTATTTCTTAGGGTTGTGAGTATACACTCTGTCTCCACAGAGACACACTTATACATCTATCCATAGAAAAACATGTGGGAGCTATTGTCTTCTCCCTCTTTAGAACAGTTCTTGCTTAAGGACCTAGAAGGTGAGAATCACATTGTTCCACTGATCCAGCTTCATCTCCCAGGTTGGGGAGAAGGGAATCCCAAAGTAGACTAGAAGGTTTAACGACTAAGAGAGCTGGTCTACCTCATTGCACCAAGCAATCTGTGTTCTGGTGTGAAGCTGATCAAATTATCTTCCCTTTTTTGGATTCCCATGAAAAAGGAAAACGATAATGACCTTATCACAATGATATTGTAAAGGATAGCTAAGATAACCAGTGACTTTAAAAAAAAACCACCCCCAAACCTATAGACAAAAAGAGATGCCAGGAATTAATTTCTCAAAGAATAATTTTGCTACTGAAAGAGGAGCCTGCATTATTAATCTTTTTATACCTTCAATATTACATTTTAATAACATTATACAGGATATCCCCAAAGTCTTAGGGAAGTTTCAAGCTATTAAAGCTGAAAACTGCTCTAAGACTTTGGGGACACCATGTAAAGTTCTTTTAAGGTTTGCAAAGTGGAATGACCATAACAGTTAAATAGCGCAGGGATCTCTATTTACAGATAAAGAAACTGAGGCCCAGAGGCGTTAAATGACTCGCCTAAAATCACAGGCCTAGTGAAATGTAAGAACCAGGACGGAAACTCAAGACCCCTGCACTGTTTGGAAGATTGGAAGTAACGGAGTTGTGTATACATACTCAGAATGATGTCCCCAACTTCATCCCCAGCCCCATTAAGCCTAGTAACCTGTGCTGCCTACATTTGACCAACATTACTCACCCTCCCCAACGAGCGCGTGCGACCCAATCCCCCTGAAAGCCACCAGCCCCATTTGGAGGCGAACTGAGGCTTCTAGGCAAAGTCCCTGCTTGGCATGAAAACGCAGGTTGCAGCTGAAAACAACATGTAAAGGAAATGAAGCAAACCGCCCAGGGCCACATGGATCCTGGCTGCTTGTCGATGCCGTTTCTGGTAAGAGGCATGACTAATGTTGTTATTGCTGAAAGTGCCCTGGCTGGGAGCCAGAGGCGCAGTCACCACCTCCGTCCAGACCACGGGGTTTTCTGCAAGCTTTGGCCAAGGCTTAGGGAGAAGGGGTGGGGGGTGGAGGAAGGCTGTAATGCAGTCAGGTGTGAGTGAGGCAAAAACAAAGAAACCCTCTGTGAGCTGCTGAGAAAAAGGATTGAACGTTGAAACGTTATAACGCTGTAGCTTGCTAAGAGCTCTCGGGAGCGCAGCTCATAGAGAAGCCTGGGAAAAGGGACAAAGGTACCCGAAGCTGCAGAGCACAATAGCTTCACCCCGTGCACATCGGCGGCTTTGCAACGAGCAAGCAAACGAGCTGTCTCTCAGGGCAGGACAAAGCAAACGACCCTGTCGAGCTAACAGCTCTGACACCCCACAGAAGCAGGCGTCAGCAGCTCCCTCGAGCAAGAGGCCAGCCTCCTGGTACCCCGGCCCCAGGCAGCTCGGAGGCAAGCCAGAAAACCTGGAATGGTTCCTCGGCCTCTATGGATCACTCACACCTGATCAATCTGCAGGGGGAGGGAGGTGAACAAAAGACAGCCGACGTTTCCTCTCTGCCCTCAATCCTCCCTCGGCTTGCACTTGAAAATGTAGGCTCACTTGTCCCAATTACTTGTAGGCACAGCAGAGTATTTTCTTTCTGAATAACCACAAGCACTGTCTTCCACCTTTCCTAGGGAAATACACTTTTCATTCATGCTCCATCTAACTGGGAGAATTAGTCTTTTTCTTTCTCCCACCTCATCAGTTTTCCCTAATTCTCCCCAGGGTTAGGGGCTGATGCAGAACTGATAACAGCAGGTTCTGGGAAGGTCTTTGAGAAGCCCCATTCACACGGTACATAAGCATTAAACTGAATTCAACAGCTGGGAGTAGTTAGAGTGGGAGTGGGGGTAGGGTGCTATTCCCTCCCTAGTGGGGGGGGCGCGAGGCTGTGGGTTGCAGTCTTTAGACCGTCCTCTTTTTCCTCCTATTGGCTTTTCCTCCTTGGGGTCTGGTGCCTGTCCCCCAACGCAGGGGCTTGACTTGTTTTCATCCAGCTGTCAATTAATCCCTCTAACTAACCTGCTGGAGTGTTAGCTGAGAAAGGCTTAAGATGTGACCTTCTTTCCAGGACATAAGACTCCAAAAGAATAAATCTCTAACGGTAGATTTTCAGCGAACATTTTTTGAACTCAGGGTTCCTCAACCTCCAATATTCCAAAGGCAGTGCGGTGCAATGGAAAGAGCGCTGAGCTTAGAGTTCTCACTCCTCCGCTTACTAGTTGTGTAACAGAACAATCACTCAGCTTTGGAACTCTTGGGGCCATTTTGTTCAAATTGGTGAGAGCCCATTGCATCTCACTAGCCCCAGATCTCCCATCATGTTTCACCTGCCTTCCTCAGGCAACTCCATTCCTTCCTTACCACCACTCAGCACAGTAATCAAATTAGGGCTACCATAGCTTCAGTCTGGAAAGAGTGTGTGTATTGACTGCTTTATAGCTCCATTTACCATTCCTGTGACTTTCGAGATCAAAATATCCTTTTTTATCCACCATTGAGAGAAGGAGAGACAGAGAGACAGACAGAAATAGAGACACAAAGAGAGAGAGAGAGAGAGAGAGAGAGAGAGAGAGAGAGAGAGAGAGAGAGAGTCCTTAAGATCCTTGAGGGCAGGAATTGTCTCAGTTTTGCATTTGTACCCCCTGCCCCAAACACTGCCTGGCACATCCATTCATGGTCAAATCATTTAACCTCTTTGAGCCTCTGTTTCTTCATCTATAAATGTGAGCTAATAATACCTATTAGCTACCTGACGTGCTTGTTGTGAGAATTAAATGAGAGTGAAGTTGAAAATTATTTGAAAAGCATAAAGCACCATATAATATGAGCTATGTTTATAGGAAGTTTTCATTAAAATTATCTATGGTGGTGGGGCACCACCATAGGCTAGAGAAAAGCAAATTTGTAAATTACTCCCTAAACCCCTTTGCACCCAAAGTTCCAGGTCCTCTTCCTATTAAATCTTTCTTCAAAGCTGCCAACAAGCAGAATCAACAGGTTTTAATTTTATTTCCCTTTTAAAATAATTTTACCTGCCCCATTTCTGATGTAAGCTTTCAAACAATGAAATAACCAAAAGGCAGGCCATCAGAGATAAAAGCAAAAGCCTTAACTAGATAATGTGCTTCCACCTATTCAAAAATTAACTTTATCCCCCTCCTTCACAATCTTCTACAGCTCTTAGAGTTAGTTCTGCTTTATTTTCTCTCTACTATGCAATTCCCCCAATTCCTTCCAAGACTATCTTAAAGGCACAGCTATCCGTTTTCTTGGTCCTAACCCCCTTCTCTCTAATCTACTCCTCTCTCCAAATCTTTTCCATTTGACTTATGTGATCAAGGGACTTTGATCTCCATCAATGAGGAGAGAGTCCCATACCAATGGGCTTTGGGGCTCTGGCTATTACACGTATGCAATGTTGACTCACAGGATTCAGTTCTAGTAATCCTCCACTTTTCTGCCTTGAGGAGGGTTGTTTAATAATCTGTTTTCCTGAACCATTATTGATTTTTCAATTGATCACTCAATAATCATTTATTTGTAACACTGATTACCCAGGACCCAACTTGGAGGTGAGGAATATTACATTCCACCCCTCTCCCAGGATTCTCCTATACCCTTAAAGGGGCATGAGATATCCAAGCTGCTTTTTAGGAAGGACTTTGAAAAGATGGAGAACACTCAGAGGTGGGAGACTTCTGCTGATGCTGAAGGGTCCACAGTTCATACCATGTGAGAATTAGTTGAGAAACCAGGGATGTTTAGCTTGGAAAAGAGAAGGCTTAATGGAGCCATAACAACGGTCTTCAAGTATATGAAGGATTGTAGTATGCAAGAAAGATTAGACTAGTTCTGCTTGGCCTCAGAGGCAGCAGCAAAAGTAGCAAGTGGAAGGAGTTTTTTCCTTCTATCAAGGACTAACAATTAGAACCATCCAAGTGTAGAATGGACTACATCTGGATATGAGGGAGGGGTCCCCTCATTGGACACCTCCAGGTAAAGGCTGGATGATCATTTCTCAGGGATGTTGCTAAGGGGATTTTCTTTAAGGCACTAGTTGGACTTTATGTCTTGAAGTTATTTATAACAAATTCTGTGACTCTACTTTTTGGATACAAGTCAAAGAGGATGTAGTTACTGTAGCATGAACAGGAGTCATCAGATGACAATCATTATTGTGGTATGGACCCCAAGGACAACATTAAGGTGAAGCTCTAGTATTTTTTTTTAATGGGGGGGGTCAGTGTGAAAAAGCTAGCTGGTGGTCTCATTTGCACAATTACTTACCTGATGAAACATCACTAAGACAGGCAAATATCTCCAAGACGGGTAACCGTCCTACTTTAGAAGTCAAAACTGACTGCTCTAATGAATGAATTCATCAGTTCCTTCCTTCTTTAAACAGAAGGTGATCTATAACTAGAGTTCTCTCTCAAGTCTATTTTAATTGTATTTAGATTCATTTTCCTCTCAATTTTTTCATTTGACTCCTGCTTTCTCTCTTTTCATAATGTTTATTTCAATGTGAACATTTATTCATTCAACAAGTATTTATTATGCACTTACTGTATACCAGGCACTATGCTTGGCACTAAATGAAATAGTCTCTACCCTCAAGGAGCATGGGAATTTAGCTCAAGTCCCTTCCACAAAGTTTCTAAAATTCTACTTCCTGAAGTGGCACTAATTACTTAGCAGAAGAAATCTCTGCAGTTTTTCCTCTCCATCAATTCTGCTTGTTAATTACCAGTATACAGAGTTGTTAAGTCATCAGTGGGAGAAATTGTGGTGTTCTCTCCATGGCCTCTGGGATTTCCCATTGTTAATTTTATTCCCATTCATGTACTCTCTGGTCCAGTCAAATTGTTTTTCTTACTGTTCCTCACACATTGCACTCTATTCACTGTCTTCATACCTTGCCACTGGTTATCCCTCAAACCTGGAATTCACTCCCTCCTTATCTGTACTTCTTGGAATCCCTGGTTTCCTGCAAGCACCACCTTTTCTCCAAAAACCTTTCCTAGTTCTTCCTCCTAGGCTCCAATCACCTCGTATCTATTTTGCAGTTATTTTACACACACCTATATAAATCTATCTCTGATACACTTTAACCTAAGAGTAGGAAGAATAGACACAGGAGAAACAAGCAAAAGTGGGATCATTCGTACATGAGCTACATGACCATCCTTCTGCTGGGACCACTGAGGGCTTACAGTGGCCCTTACCTCCTCAGTTGAACACAGTCACAGCAATTTGTGATGCATTGTCTCCCCTGATGGAATGAATGTAAGCTCCTTGAGGGCAGGAATTGTATCACTTTTGTCATTGCATCCCTCTGGAGTTTAGCACAGTGTTGGGCATATACTAGATATTTCATAAATGCTTCTTAATTAATTAATTGTTGACTGTACATATAGTACTTGGAAGGATACTCAAAATATCCTCTGAAGATCCTTAGTCCAAAATACACACAAACTGATGAATCAATCAGGTCCTCCGGTGCAAGGCTAGTTACATCTGGCCTTCTTACAGTTCTAGGAATATTTCTGAGGGGCCATAAAAGTGTCTTTTTCTAATGCTATCACCTTGAACCCCCATTGTAGTATATTCTCTCCAATATTAATGGCTTTAGCTAATTAACATCAACTAATTTTTACAAAGCTAAAGTTATTGCAAAGATATAGCAAAAACAAAAGTTTCAAACATCCCCTAACATTCTTCCCTCTAATACCTCAGTCCCTGGGGAGAGTGGGATCAAACTTACAGCAGTTTCTACATAGCATTTACCTCACCAAGTTCACTTCTAAATTTGGCATAGGTGATGGATGGATAAGTCCAATATTTGTTACTGCTGGGCTGGGTCAATCAGGTCACTCTTTAGGACCTTGCTGCTACCTCAGTCATGATTGGCGTCCAACAAATCACAGCATAGACTCCAACTTCTAGACTTCTAGTCCAGGGGCGGCCAGGTGGCGTGGTGGTTTGAATATCAGCCCTGGAGTTAGGAGGCCCTGAGTTCAAATCCAGCCTCAGATACT